CAGACCCTGGTTCTCATCAGAGCTTCTGAGCTTGGGCTGGATGAAGTTGAGGGGTTACCATAGGGGTTTACTGTGTGGCAGGTTGGAGATTTGAGTTTGAGGGAGTCCTTCAGTCTATCCCTGGTTTAGTGAAAGGGTCCCTGGAGCCTGTGCCTTTTATTCCCCTCTTCTCAGAGCTTGTGTCATCTTCCAGTTCACTCTCCCTGGAACAGTCCACAGCTCCAAATCCTGCCTGGGAAAACTGGACTTCTCCCACACAGATGTGCTCCTTAGCCTAGCCTCCCCATTGTCTTGTCAGTGTAGTCTTATAAACATATTAATGACTTTTTTATTTGTTCAGTAGCTTCTTCAGCTCCATAAAACCTATGCAGGGTTTATGATATGTGACAGGCTTCCTGTCAGCCCATTGCTGGCCTGCTATGAATGGAGGGGTTGGAAAAATGAATACACAGCATTCATAAAATGAATCAGAATTCATTAGTTGGACAAGGACAGATCCTCCAAATTGTCACAAGCAAATGAGGAATTTATAATTTCATAAACTGATTATTAAAAGATAAGGGAAAGCCTAATAGAGCCATGTTGATTTATACTAGCTGAGGATCTGGCCCAGAATAAACTGCCAGGTGAAGGCTGCTGAAGTACAAATTGCAAAAGTCTTGAAACAGATATTAAGGAAACATCTAGGACACAACTTGGCAACGTATTACTGCCCTAAGCCAGAGTTAGCGATCTGGCTTCCTGCCATGGACTGCAAATTCCACCCTTCCCCAACTCTGTGCCTTCCCCTGGGAGCTCTTTTCTCAAAAATATCCATTTTCTTACCCCAAATTACTTCTAAGACAATAGAGAAAGGCAATAGATTGAAAAACATCATCTATTTCCAGACACCAGCAAAGGAGTCTAGATTGGAACTAGTGATGTAGATATGAAATACTCCAATGTCCTCTCTGTGTCAGAAAATTTCTTCTTTCTAGATGGTTTTCATTCTTCTATTAAAAATAATAAATAATTATAATATGGCAAGCAGTTTTATTTACACTTTTTGAAACAATACAGCTCCCTTGTTATAAAGACAACAAAACTGAATTGCGTTTTAAGGAGGAATTGAAAAAAAAAAAGACGCAAGTGCTTTTGTGCACCCAGGAAATCTCCGTGACTGGAGTAATGTGAAATAGGAAGCTGCCATGATATGCTGGAAGAGGTTATTTCTGCTGCAAATTGAAGGAGAGGTTAAGTTGACTTTTGGTGGAGTCACCTCTCTCTGAATGCTTGTAAATGTTCTGTGCCAAAGAGAATTTATCCATTCGGCTTGTAAAATACACTTGAAGAACAAATACGTTGCCTTTGGAATACCTCACACTGCACCAAATTTAAAAATTTACTGGAAAGGATGTATAAGATATTTGTTCCCCCTTCTTCACCGTTCATTTCAAATCACACAAGCTGAACATTGTACTATACTATGACTAAACTGACTGTTTTTCAGTATAAACATTTCCTGCAAATTTTCTTAAAGATAAGTTGGCTTGCCAGGTGATGTTGCTTTCTTTCTTGGTGACAGGTGTGAGAAAGTATTTTTGTTTACATGGGAAAACAAATTGATAGATTTTCTAAGTTCTTTGCATTTCCAGTCACATAAACATGGGCTATGGTGTTTTATCACAGGCAAGAGGGGACATTTTTGTGGAAGTCCCTCATTAAAATATTAGCAGCATCTAACTATGTATTGCTACATATTTTATAGGCCTCTCATAAAAATAAGGGGCATACTCTTAAGAAACTTTCTTCAAAAGGAATGCCTATAGACTCCCATTGCCAGGAGTTACACAAAAAGCAAATATAAAAAGGCACATTGTTAAAGCTAATGCAAACAACCTTATCTGAAAATTTTAAGGCAAAACTAACATTAAAGTCAGTGACAATTCTATCTGGGTAAAGACTGAGGGAAAGCCGAGTAGAAATCTTAGGATTTAGTCCCCTTAGGAATTTTGGCTAAAAAAGACAGGATAAGCAAGGCACTTTAAGGTTTGGTCCAGTAGTGGTAAAACACAGCAATGCATTGTTTCGTGTAGATATACTATTCCATTGACTTCTTCAACCAATAGCTAAAGGAAGCATATTTTTTCTCCCACTACTACTAATTCAGTGCAAGCAGAGAATCAAAAGATGAAAAAGAAAAGAGAAATTAAGTTTCTTCAATTATGTTAAAGATTATGTTTCATACACCATGGGCCAGATTTTTAGCAAGAAAAACAAGGTAGGTCAACTAAAGTAAATAGTAGTACTAATTTATTTATAGCTTTTGCTAAAATGATACAGCAAAATTAAGAATAAAATTATGTATAATAATAAAATGACATAATTTGTGGTTATTGGCACATTACCCACTCTACTAATTTAAATGAAGTAAAAATGAACATAATCTATGATGAATAGAATAACAAAATCAAAACCAGGAAATACTATTTGGTTTTGGCTCTTAAAGTGCAAATCACTGAAGTAAATGGTCCCTAGCCCAATTTACTTTCTCTGAAAGTCTGACCCGAGGTGTAACTATACAAAGTACAGCCTAAAGCAAGGCTAATGGTCTTAGCTCCTGCACACATAAAAACATGAAAAAATGTTCACTATAACAAATACCTTGATCACAGCAATTAAAACTTAATAGGCCAGATATCTTTCTCCTTTCACACCACTTTTCAGCCAAGGAGGTTGAACTACATGTTAAAACCTGTCTCAGAAGAGTTAGTTGAAGGAGGGTGCATCTACACATGCTATTAATGAGCTTTAAGCTTGTTGCACATTAAAATAATGTGCAGCAAGCTTTCCCCAAGTGCGTGTCTATACATGCACCTGTCAGGAGCAAATTTGCTCCCAATGGGAGCAGATCAATGCAGGGCCATTCCTGCCTTGCTCTGCCTCCCTACAGCACCTAGGAAGAGCTCTAGGCTCCCTCAGCTGCAAGCCCTGGGCTGGCAGAGGGCACTGAAGTCAGGCCTGGGTTCTAGGGGGCAGAGGAAGCTGTCCCACCTTTGGGTCAGCTGCCTCCCACCCCTGCGCCCTGATCAGCAACGGTGGGAGCAGTGAAACTGTTCCTTGCCCTGGGCAGGTGCCTTACTCCCAGCCCTGCATCCTGATCAATAGATCAGAGCAGGGGCCGGGAAATAGTCCCCTCCCCCAGGCAGCTGCCCTGGGGAGGGGACAGTTTCTCTGCCCCCTGCTGCCTGGGCTGCCTGGGAGTAATTTACCACAGTAGCTACTGTGCAGTAAATCCACACTCTTTACCTACAGGTAGTAGCCAACCATGCAGTAAACTAATTTACTGCATAGTAAATGCTGCTCATGTGTAGACGGTGACACTTTGCTGTATATTAGTCTACTGTGCAGTAAAGCATCTTATGTAGATGTGCCTGGATGAACTCCACTTTGTCACAAACACCATTTCCCTGTGGTATATATTTCTACAACTGTAATATCAGAAACAGTTCACTTGATCTCTAGTTGTGTGATAGCCAACATCATGCTGAGAAAAAGTTGTACTGAGAAAAGAATAAACTCAACAATAATAAACAAGAATTATCCATGAAAGAGTAGGGTGCAAGGACTTCTCAACAAGCCCAATATGATCAGTTACATCTAGCTTGGGACAATAAACAATGATTCTCAGTTGTATAAAACAAGTTTATTTTAAAGTGGAAACACAATAGACATATGTTCTCCATTTTGTCTTCTTTTTCACCATCTGGTTTTTATTGCTGTTAGGGCAGCCATTAGAAACAATGTGAAATATCTGATCTTTGTATTATAAAGAATTCTAAGATTAGTAAAGAGTGAACTCCCAATGATTCACAAGTCTGAACCTTCAGGTAAGGTTGGCTTATCTGAAATTGCTACATTCTCTAGATGAGCAAGATCTGTTTGGCAGCCTCACCCTGGTTACCAGTGGATAAATCCTTGTGTAGACATCTAAATGGCACTTAGGTCCACAAAAAGTGATTGGATAAACCCCATTCCAGTCACTGAAAACCCCCTTAGGAGACTTTGTTTAGGCCCAGAAAGATCCCTTAGGCACCTAGATCTAGACTTACGAGCATGCTCAGAAGCAATCCAATTTGAAAAGTTAGGTACCAAACTCCTGTCCAAATTCTTTTGTAATCCAGATTGCAGGTAGAAGGTGATCACAAAACACACCTAACCACACTGACAGGATTGAGTTCAGCAAGTCTCCTCTTTACTTAGGGAGAAGACTGTCATGGCAATAATAGCTTAATGGTTGGCGTGTTTACCCAGGATGTGGGAAACTTGTGTTCTAGAGCCTCCATTTAGTCTCTGAACTACTCCCATTGGCTGTGTGGGGAGCCTAGGTACCTGACCCTATTTGGTTCACCCTCCTGTGGCAAGGCATTTGTTTTTAAATGTTGTAATATCTGAGTGGAAACTTTTATAAGAATGACTTAGATCAGGCGCTATAGTTTATGTCACAGAGACATGCCACCAGAATCAGCATTCTTGTTGTCACCCTTAGCCAAGCAAAGACACAGGATAGGAGTTTATTTATAGAAAATAAACTCTTGTGTTACTTGTAAAAGTGGCCTCTTCTAGTTAGGATTGAAAAATGTAGTTGCATAGCTTACATGATTACATCCCATGATACGCATTTTTGTGTGGATGGGTGTTCAGTAACCTGGTTAGTAGATATGCATTCTGTTTTTACAGAAGGCTTATTTATTTAGGGCCTGATCAAAACAACTCAGGTCTATGGACTGGTAATCCTTTTATTGGCTTCTATGATCTTATGATAAAAGGGAAATATGCATTTTTTCTGTCTTTAGCAACATCATCTCTGATATGTCCAATGCTTTTGGGTTCTTATGTATTTATTTCTATTGTTTTGCCCAGATTTAGAGCAAGGTTTTGACCCCTGGTTTCTAAAATAAGTTTATTACTGATTATCGCAATGATACAGAACTTACTGTTTTCTTTTTCTTTAATTCCAGGATGTGGAATGTTTACCTTTCTGTCATCTACCATTGCTGCCATCAGTGGACTTCTAATGGGTTATGAATTGGGACTTATCTCAGGGGCTCTTCTCCAGCTGAGCAGTATACTAATGCTCTCTTGCAAACAGCAGGAAATAGTCGTAAGCGCCATCCTTATTGGGGCCTTACTAGCATCACTTACTGGTGGATTTCTGATTGACCGATTTGGAAGGAGAATTGCTATTATTGTAGCATCTTCTTTATTTGTATTGGGAAGTCTGATCTTGATACCCAGTGCATCATATGGGATACTTATTGTAGGTCGGATCACTATAGGCATTTCCATATCATTATCCTCAATTGCAACATGTGTATATATTGCTGAGATTGCACCGCAGCATAGAAGAGGCCTACTTGTGTCATTAAATGAACTTATGATTGTGACTGGCTTTCTTTTTGCCTACATTTCAAATTATGTATTTGCCAGCATTTCTCAAGGCTGGAAATACATGTTTGGCCTTGCAATGCCATTAGGGGCTTTGCAAGCTGTTGCTATGTATTTCCTTCCCCCAAGTCCTCGGTTTCTTGTTATGAAAGGTAATGATGAAGCTGCTAGCAAGGTACTGGGGAGGCTAAGGGCAACTTCAGACACTGCTGAAGAACTCATTGCCATCAAGTCTTCCTTGAAAGATGAACATCAGTATGGTTTCTTGGACCTATTTCGTTCAAAAGACAATATGAGGGCACGAATGCTAATAGGTCTCACCCTAGCATTTTTTGTGCAAACAACAGGACAACCTAACATTTTATTTTATGCATCGACTGTTCTGAAGTCAGTTGGGTTTCAGAGCAATGAAGCAGCTAGCTTGGCCTCTACTGGAGTGGGAGTGGTCAAAGTAGTCAGCACAATCCCAGCCATCATTTTTGTGGATCAAGTTGGAAGCAAAACCTTTCTGTGTATTGGTTCTTCTCTTATGGCAGTGTCGCTAGTCACCATGGGTTTGGTGAATTTTAATTTACATATGAACTTCACAAATATGTGTAGAAGCCAGTCCCTAGAAGATTCAGTTTTTCATGGATCAGGAAACCTGACTGCCAATAATGAGAGTCTCAGGAACCAGTTTGGCAGTATGACTTCACAGGATGGAATATCACTAAATACACTAAAGAAATCTGAAATGGCTGAAACAGAGGAACAGAACAGGACAGTTTTGGAAGGAGACATGATCTCTACAGGAAGTCAAATGAGATTGAACATCAAAACAGAAACTGTGGAAGTCCCACTACTTCTGAAATGGATCTCTCTGGCTAGCTTGCTTGTTTATGTTGCTGCTTTCTCCATTGGTCTGGGACCAAGTAAGTGGTTCATATTTTTTATTCCTTATAATGCATTATTTACAAATGGGTTAAGTGCTAATGTAAAGCATCCATGAATCACTGAAAAGTCAAGTTCTCAGTTCACAGAAGGCAAAGCATGGTAAACAGCAGTCCAAGCTTTCATCATGCCATTCTGCCGCTAAACCTCTGCTGGAGAGGCCAGCTCAAAATGATTAGAGAGCAATTCAATCTTCACTGCCCATTCAGCCCCTGGCTAATGGTGATGTGGACTACAAAGGACTGAGAAAAAACTTAAGGCTATGGTATATCTAGGTACATATAGAAATTCTAGAGCCATTAAAGTTAACACCAAAGCTCCCTTTAGTATCAATGAAGCCAATTTATTACTTCCCATCACGACCAACTGCTTTGAGATTTGAATCAATATCGCGTACTTGAAAAAAAAGCTGTGTCCCATTGCCCCTGTTTTTTCATAGATTTCATAGACATTCGGGCTGGAAGATCATCGAGTCCAGCCCCCTACCCCAGGGGCAGGAAGTCAGATGGGGTCATAGGATCCCAGCAAGAAAAACATCCAGGTTTCTCCTGAAGGCATTCAAAGTAGGTGCTTGAACCACCTCCAGTTGCAGGCCATTCCAAACCTTGGGGGCTCGGACAGTAAAGAAATTCTTTCTTATGTCCATCCTGAAACGGTCTTGCAGTAGTTTATAACCATTCAACCTGGTCATCCCTTGGGGTGCTCTGGTGAAACAAACGTTCCCCAAGATCCTGGTGAACACCCCAGTAAACTTTTAGGTGGCCATCAGATCGCCCCTGAGCCTGCGCTTTTCCAGGCTGAAGAGTCCTCTGCCTGTCATCGTAAGGTCTGTTTTCCTGACC